GGAGTGCCCGTTTGGACGCTAGTCACCGTAATAACCATTATCAAAATCCTCATAATAATAATAATAATAATAATAATCATCAGAATATTCATCCCAGTCTTCAAGGTTATCACAAATTGGCAATAGTAAAACCTTAATCTGCTCAAGGCATCTTTTCTTCAAATCTTCAGTCAAATTGAGATGATAACATTCTTGAATGTCAAGATACTCAAGAAGAGGACATTTGTCAAGAACGGAAACAAACCCAACATTAGTGAGCACGTTTCCTCGAATATCAAGATGACATAATCCAGTCATTGTTTCAGAAATAACAAGAGCCGCATTATCATCAGCACGCGGATATAGACACACAAATCTCTTAAATACTAGGGATTTCAGAAGAGGACAAGATCTGCCAAGGACTTCAAGAGAATCCTTAGATAGCTTACAATATGAGATGTCCAACTTCTCTAACTGTGAAAATTTTTCACAGCTTGACTAAATCCTTTATCAGAAATACTAGCGCAATTTAGGAGCCTCATGGTTCGTAGGTTATAAGCACTGTAAATTTTGAATCAAAATTCATTAAAAAAGGGTTTATAAAATAACAAAGATATACATTATATATAAAAACATCAATACGCAAGAAAACATCTGAGAAAAACTAATTAAAAATATATTAACATGTGCAAGCAAGAAAAACGATGGATAATAATAATTACTTTTCAGCTATGCTTTCAAGGAGATCATCAGTGCAAAAGTACTCAATATTAATGTCTATCAGATGACCGCAGCTTCGATCAACAGCATAACGATAAACCTTCTGATACTCTGAATGATTTTTATAGAATGGACCCAAAATTCTTAGATAATCAGTATAATTGTTGTGGAATAAACTTTTAAAATAGGTAATGTGAATGGTGTGCCACATGAGAGGATGCTTGCAAATGTTCCACCATAGAGGGCAGACAAGGCACGCACTAGTGGCAACTTCCACTGTACCAAGCCTCTGTAGGATGTTACTCGTGATGTCCCTTGGAAGATCAAGCCAGTTTGGCAGCATTGTAGACTCAACTTCTGCTTCCTTTGCAGCAATAGAACAAGATGCCATTTTTGTAAGCAGACAACTTGTTGCATGAACTCTTCACCTAGTTATAACCTTTTATAGTACACTAACAGTAGTAATTGTAAATGTTTTAAAAGTGAATCATAGCTTCCAATAATCACTAAGAGGGGTACTTAAACATTTTGAAAGAGAAAGACCGGAATAAGAAAAGAAGTTTTTATGTTTCCAATGATATAATAAATTTGATCGGTTCCAATGAAATCATAATTTACTTAAGAACACGCCTCCAAATGATATAATAAAAGTGACTTGATCTATGAAGAAACTATGTTATTTCTCAAGGTTTTCTTGACAAAAATCATTCATGATGCTGCTTAATATACTAATCATGCAAGAAGAAAGGTTGTGACTGCCATGAGTGTTGTGTATACTCTTATGAGACAAGGAAGAACTTTATACGGTTTCAGAGTTTGAAGAAGATACTCTCTTTTATTTATTATTATGTTATCTTTTTATCGTCTAAGTTGTATAATTTGTATTTATGTTTCTGCATTTTTAAAAAAGTTTATATCTAAGTAATAGTCAGTGATTATCAATGATCACCGTCTAAATTATGTAGTTTGTATTTGTATTTTCAAAAATGTTTATTTTCAAGTATTAGTTTGTGATCCTGCAATGGTAATGACTAAATACTACAATATGTTTTTTCTATTGTATGGTTTATGGACAAAATTACACTATATATATATATATATATATATATATATATATATATATATATATATATATATATATATATATATATATATATATATATATATAATTATATTAAATTTATGATGATTTTAGTTAAGTTAAATCTAATTTTTATAATCTATAACAATATATAAAGGCAATAGATTGTTTTGGTGTAGCTTTTTTTTCTTCCAAATTTACCCTTTTCAATTTTTATTTTAAATTATTATTTTTTTCTCACAACGGCGGTTACACAAAGGTTTATTAACCGCCAACAGTTTATTATTTTTCATATCATTATCTTTAATTATTTTATAAATACTTTATAATTAAATTAAAATTAAATAATTTATCTAGGGAACATGAAATTTTAGACTGACCTATTTTTATTTCTATTTTATCCTTTAATATTTAATTTTAGTTAATTTTAAAATGAACTGATTACACAACCAAGCAAAGAGATATCTAATAATAAAAATAATAATAATGATGATGATAATAATCTATAACAATATATAAAGGCAAAACACAATTTTTGTGTAGCCTTTTTTTACTTCCAATTTTGTCTCTAATAAATTGATTTTTTTACATTATTTTTTTTAATGCTAATAGGATAATTTATTAATTAAATAAGAATTGATAATAAAAAAAGTAGTAGTAACTTCTAAAAATAATTAACTGCTTTATAACCCAACTTAATTAAATTAATTAAATGAAAAATGATAATAAAAAAGTAGTAGTAACTTCTACATATGATTAACTGCTTTATAACCCACTAATCCCATTATTGAATAAAATAGAACTATATAACAACTTTCATTCTTAGAATGATATATAAATACCCCTTTCATCTTCTACTTTTTCACATTCAAAATTCAAAAGAATAAACAGTTTATCAAAATTTCTTACAAAAATGGCAAGTCGTAGAAAAGGTATTAAGGGGCTCGGAAAGGGAGGAGCAAAGAGGCACAAGATGATTCTGCGCAACAATATTTGGGGAATTACAAAGCCATCGATTCGTAGATTGGCTAGGAGAGAAGGTGTCAAGAGGATAAGTGACTTGATCTATGAAGAAACTATGTTATTTCTCAAGGTTTTCTTGACAAAAATCATTCATGATGCTGCTTAATATACTAATCATGCAAGAAGAAAGGTTGTGACTGCCATGAGTGTTGTGTATACTCTTATGAGACAAGGAAGAACTTTATACGGTTTCAGAGGTTGAAGAAGATACTCTCTTTTATTTATTATTATGTTATCTTTTTATCGTCTAAGTTGTATAATTTGTATTTATGTTTCTGCATTTTTAAAAAAGTTTATATCTAAATCAATGATCACCGTCTAAATTATGTAGTTTGTATTTGTATTTTCAAAAATGTTTATTTTCAAGTATTAGTTTGTGATCGTGCAATGGTAATGACTAAATACTACAATATGTTTTTTCTATTGTATGGCTAGACCAGACCTAGATATCCAGCCCTCCATCTCTCTGGGTAGCTGTAGTGGAACCCTCTACATCAACTTCAATCCATGCCCCGCTACCTTTAACTCTTTCTTCGACCCTCTCTCCTGAAAACAATTAAAACAATTAAAAATTTGAATTCTATTGAATATTAAATAATTTTCGTTTTCTTACCTGACCGAACCATATACGGTTTACAATATGCTGTTCGTATTTAACTAACAGAGATGTATTAGACGGTCCTCCTGGATATCCAACCGGCTCGGATGCTGATGCTGATGCTGATGCATCAAAATGCTCTTCTTCAGCCATTCTCGATGACTCACCTCGTCCTACTCCATGAGGGATCCTACCATCTCTGCCTCGTGTGCGCACCACTGGAAAAAAAAAATAATTAAAAATTAAAAAAAATTAAATAAGTAGAAAAAAAATTAAATAAGTAGAAGAAAAAATTAAAAAAAAAAACAATACACCGGAAGTCTTCAGGAAAGTGTTCCGGTGAAGAAAATAGTTTTTGGTCTGTACCGGATGTCTTTTAAAAAGAGTTCCGGTGAAGAAAATCCAATTCGCGTATACCGGAAGTCTTTAGGAAAGAGTTCCGGAAGACAAAATCAACAAGTTTACAAACCGGAAGACATTCGTTAAGTCTTCCGGTGAAGATGAAAAAAAAATTACAAACCGGATGACTTACTGGTAGAGTTCCGGTATGTATTTGATCAAAAATGGCTTCCGGATGTCTTGGTTGAAGTCTTCCGGTTTGTTAAAAGAAAAAGAGCTTCCGGATGTCTTTGTATTTGGGAATGAAGGAAAAATGAAAATTTTTCAAAATTATAGATATTTAAACAAGGGTATTTTGCTCCAATATTTTTTAATGTAGGGGTGTGGGTATAAGTGTAGGGGTATGGGGTAAAACTTCCTAGGTTTGAATGATTTGATTCATATTAGACCCGCATGTGATTGTATTGGATAAAAATAAGGATTGAGTTAGATTGGGTGAGTGGGCTCGCGAGTTGGTCCGTACCCATGAACACCCTTAGAGATAAAATGTTTTCTTTATTTAATATTTTAACGTCAGAGTTTCATTTATTAAAAATAAATAAAGATGAATAAATGAAAAGTTTCATATATGAATTCAGCTGAAATAACTAATCAATATAAAAGAAAATTGGGTTAAATTTGTTTGTGGTTCTTTTAAATATTTTAAATTTCGTTTTAATTTCTCAAAATATTTCCTTCAAATAATGGTTTTTATAAACTTTCCATCCACTTTTTTAGTCTCTAATATTAAAATTCTAATATTAAAATTATCGTTAAAATGGTCGCTAATTCAGTCGCTTAATAATAAACTGTCTCTAAAATCGTTGTAAATTTTGTCACTAAGTTGTAAAAACCGTCACTAAGTTGCATGAGAGACCAAAAATATAGATGAAAAATTTTAAGAGAACTATATTTAAAAAAAAAAAAAATTACAAGAGTAAAAACAAAATTTAAAATATTTAAGAAAATCACAAACATATTTAATCCAAAAAAATTTAACTAAAAAAAGAAAAATTGAAATTAAAGTACAGATTAAATTTAAAATTGGAATTCAATAGGAGAAAATAATGACTAAATGAAAATATAAGGATAGAATGAGAGAGAATATTGGTAAATTCAACATATTTTTTCTCCATTTATTACATATTATTCTAGCCAGTATTCATGTATTAATTGACAATTGCATTGACATTGTCCGTAAACTCAATATATATATTACTACTATGATTTATTGATTGTATTGTCCTTGCAAGTTTTGAAGCACGAATTGACAATTCCATTGACATCACGAGCATCTGAAAAAACAAAATATAAAATTATGTAAAAAACAATATTAATTAAATCATTTTCGATCAATATTATATTTTTTTTCAAGTTTATATATAAAAAATATATCAATAACTCAATAAATTTAAAAAAAATATAGCATACCAGTATTAATATTATTGAGTTTTGAATAAGCACAACGAGTAGTACAATCATATGCAGCCTGCAATGAAATTATATGGCATGTAAATATAATACATCCAGCAAAACATTCTGCATACTTGATTTCATCTCCCAAATGATCTCCACATTTTACAGCACATTCGCCAGCACATTTCACTACACTGCCAATACTATTCGGAGACTCTCTCGTAAGAGAATAACTAGCTTCTGCCAAAATCAGCATCATCATAATCATAATAACATTTTTCATCTCACTCTTTGCCATTATTCTTTCTCTTCTGTTAATATTGTTTTACTCTTTGGTAATATAGTATGTTACTATGTTGAATCTCTATTTATATATTTTTTAAATGGATTATCATAGATTACTAAAATATTATTTTATTTTATTATAAATTTGTATAGCTTTTCTGAAAAAGATTGAACATGGCGAATGGCAAAAACTTAAATAATGGAATCCAGATGATAATAGATTTTAGTTAAGTAATTTATGTGATATTAATAATTTTAGATAATATAGTTTTGTACAATGTATATGAAATTAACTTTTAAATAGTAAAGTAATATTACTCATTGTGTTTTTAAATATTACTAAAATTTAGAATCTGATCATCTTTTTTATATTTGGAAAACATAAGAAATGATATATTAGGACACATTTTCAAAGAACATATAGTTTATAATTATAAAAATAATTTTAATGCCGACCTTCTCTCATATTTAGAATCATATAAATTAATTAGTTTTTTTTATTAATTTTAATTGAATTAAGTGCATCAAAAAGAGAAAATTCTAGAATATATTAACCTATGGTAACATAAGTAAGAATAATTTAAAAATATTTATGAGTTTTCTCATTTAATTTTGTAATATGTACCTCCTCTCAAACTAAATTGTATGAAATCATATTTGTTATCGCTTAATTTAATAGCGCTTTTAAAAAAAGTGTTATTAAAAAGGAAATAAACACATCTATAATAGCATTTTATGGTCGGACGCTATTATAGAGTGTAGACAATGTGATTTTGATAGCACTTTATTAAAAAGTGCTATTATTATAAAGTAAACAAACATATCTATAATATCACTTTTAAAAAAAGTGCTATTAAAAAAAAACAAACATATTTATAATAGCACTTTATGGTCGGGCGCTATTATAAAGTGTTGACAATATGATTTTGATAGCACTTTATTAAAAAACGCTATTATTATAAAGGAAACAAACATATCTATAATAACAATTTAAAAAAAATGCTATTAAAAAAGAAACAAACATATTTGTAATAGCACTTTATGGTCGGACGCTATTATAAAGTGTGGACAATATGATTTTAATAGCGCTTTATTAAAAAGCGCTATTATTATAAAGGAAACAGACGTATCTATAATATCACTTTTAAAAAAAGTACTATTAAAAAAGAAACAAGCATATTTATAATAACACTTTATGGTCGGCCGCTATTATAAAGTGTTGACAATATGATTTTGATAACACTTTATTAAAAAACGCTATTATTAAAATTCAATAACATAGCACTTTTTTTAAAACGCTATTAATATTTTTTATTAAGATCTTTTATTATAATATATTACTAGGAATAGAAATAGAAAAAGATTAATTACATAAAAAAAAAGAAAAAAAAAACGGACAGGAAAGGGAAGAGGGGAAAGGGGATTAGGGTTAGAGAATTTGCTCACCTTCACCAATACTTCATCTGTCTCACTTTCACACCACCGGAGAACACATTGACCATAACAACAAAACTTCATAACCCATTTCCAACACACTAAACCACAAATTCGAATCAACACATGAATAAATGTTGAACGAGAGCTCTCTCTGCTCAAATCATCAGTGATTATTGCAACATCCACGGTTTCGACGCAGTTTTTGATTTGTGGTTCTCATTTTCACTATTGTTGTTATCTTCTCCTCCACAAACAAGGACAAAGCACAAAGCTTAACTTGCGGAGAAATATGGATCAGTATTGTCATAAGCCTCTTTCGTTATGCAAACTCGATGTCATTCGCATTTGCGACGCGCGACAACTGCGACACCAACAACTCCACGAGCCTTCATTAGCAGCAATCATGTACTCAGTGAAAGGTTATGAGTTCAGATGTCGACACAGTGATGACAACGAGCTCGACAATCTCTACAGCAACAATAGTTAATAACCTCGTTCCACTCGGTGATCTTTGTCTCTCTTTAAAGCTTCAGAATCACTATTTTGAAGGAAAGCACAGGTATTTCTTAAGCATACTAGAATTGATATTTTTTGCTCTTATAATTGATATGTACGTTAGATGTTCGATTAAATGCCTCAGAGAAACAAATAGTTATAGAGTTGTTGCAAAACCTGTCAAAACATCAAGTGAATGTCAGGTTCTGTGCATTAAACTCATCTGATATTTGTATTCAGTGACATAGAGTTTGATCAAGCTTCTGCAAACTCTTGGGAGACAGATTACCAAGCAATCACTAGGAAGTATAAAGAGAAAGGGTATGGTTCTGCTGTGCCTCAAGAAAATTTCAATGCTTAGATTTGTACCCTTGAGGAGCTTTCAAATAGATACAGAAAGAAATTGGATATCATAAGGACTTTTTTGATGAATTTTGGTAATCCACCTATCTTCTTAACTATTATATTTTAGCAACTATTGGGTTTAATAGACTGGATATAAGAGTGCTATTAATGATTTTAGTTATTTGAAGTGACCATGATTAATACAAACTCAGAGTCTTTCTGTTAGACTGTCATAAAGTACTACTGCAACATTTCTTGCTATAGCTTCCATCTATTTTGTTGCTTACTTGCTTTTATGTGCCTTGCTAACATTACAAAAACCAAAAACATCCGTAGTTTTTACTCTTGTTGTAAATTGTTGTCAATTTATCTCTTGTTATTATGTATTTGCTAAATATTTTCTATGCTTGAATAAATATGTATTGCAGCTGATGGAATTGGGTGTTGAAGAGTTAATTGCTAAAGGAAATTCATCTATTTCAGCTCGCTGGAATGCTGCAAGTAAATTGCTGGAAAAGGTTTTCAGGGTTCGACTGGGTAGAGAGTTTTATGGAGAGTGCCTGGTAATGTTTCAGGATTTAATCATCTTAGGTTTTATAGTTCTTAACTTGCTGTAATAGTAATGCTGGTGTTTTTAGTACTTCATGAAGAACTAATAATTGTCATTTTGATTGATTATAACAACATCATGGTGGAGGAGGTTCCGCAAGTTCAAGCTCCTTCATAATAAGGATGGATGAGTACAACCAATGGATTTCATCTTAACAATGTAATGAACTAGTTTTTAACAATGCTTATTTTGATTTGTATTTAGGCCAAGTTTTGGAAGCAGTATGTGGAGGCACAAATGGGTGTAAATAATGATGACGCTACCAAGCAGATTTTTAGTCGTTGTTTGTTGAACTGTCTTCAAGTTCCTCTCTAGTATGTCATTTTCTTATTCTGATTATGATAATGGTTGACATATTAGTTTCCTTTTGGATATGTTGTTTGAAAGGTTTTGATTATATGTGAGAATTCAGTGTTGTTTATCCTTGTTTATAGGCGGTGTTACATTTATTTCATTAGAAAGGTCAATGACAAGAAGGGCACAGAGGGTCAAGAAGAGACCATAAAAGCCTTTGATTTTATGCTCAACTATATCGGTAACTTGTTTCTCATTGTCCTATTACTTTTGTATTTTAGTTTTCCTTTGATTATTGTAGCACTTATATATGTATGTATATTGACACATCTTTCTAATGATGTGCTAACAGGAGCAGACATAGCATCTGGCCCTTTGTGGATGGAGTACATATCCTTTCTAAAGTCATTGCCGGTTAGTTAATATTGTGTTTTCTGCAATTCTTGTTGCATAATTTGGTATCGATTTTCAACTTTTTTTGGGTCAATTTCAGTTGCAGCCTGTACATGAACAAGAAGAACCATATCAGATGACTGTTATTAGGAAAGTCTATCAGAGGGCTATTATTACTCCTACCAATCAAATTGAACAACTTTGGAAAGAATATGAAAATTTTGAAAATTCTGTCATTTCCTTGTGCTGTCTTTCATTTGTGAATAGATTCAGAAATGCTACGATATGCCTATGCAGGGCTAGAGGAATCCCGTGGAGCAATCCATGTATTTTTTAGGCTTGATCATACTGTAGATCTAGTAAAGGCCTCCGAATGGGCCATTTGATATCTTATTCAATTTTTTTTCAACTTGTTTCCATTGGTTATATTAATCCATAAAGATTTTTATTTCGTTTTATTTCAGGCCGCAAAGAAAGTACATGAAAGCGCATTGGGAAACAGTGACAATGCAACTGCATTTGCACATATTCAGGTATGTGATATTTTGTGTGGTGTTGTTCAAGTTCTCTGTTGTATTGAATTAAAGGACATTTAGCCAAACATAATGGAGATTTACTCGTTGATATGCAGGCGAAGGCTGCGACTGCAGCTGGTGAAAGCAGTTTTAGATCTTTCATGGTTGTTGTACAACGTTCGGGAAGCAGTGTTGCTATTATTCAACAAGTATGATGAGGAGTATTGATTTCAATAATTATTTTACCATAAGTATAAATCAAGCCTCATAACTGATATGGATTCTTCTCTATAGTACTTCACCAATTCTATATCTAGACTTTTGCTTCTTGTGGATGGTGCACATGCTGCTGCTTGTGAAGAAATGGCTACGACAATGTCCAGTGCAGAGGCTGCTGCTTACAAAGGATTACAATAGTGTATTGAAACTGTCATGGCCGAGGTCAATTAGACCTGTAATATGGTCAATGATAGCCAGTACTCAATTACCTATTGTAAACTTCTATCATGTGACTACGCACAATCTACCCACTCCTGATGGCTACCCTGTGTCTGCATAAGCATAACCGTCCATATAATAAATAAACTTAGAATATATATTTCCCACATACTTTTATATATAAATATAATTCTTAGTTCCTAAAGTTTTCCACTTTAAACCCCTTTGCAGGTAGAGCGATTGCTTTCAACTGAGCAAAAAGCTACAAATTATAAGTCACCTGATGATGGAATGGCTCCTGACTACCGGTTAACTACTGCCTGCACAAGGTGTACATTACTTGAGGAGTTTAAACTAGTATTAAAATTGACGATATTGATGTTTTCTCTAATTTATATCTCGCATGGATGGATATTTTGACTTGGCAGTGTTTTGAAAATTGGTTGGTCTTTGAACCAAGAAAAGCAAAGATCCAAGGGTTGGAGA